TATATGTACATATATATAGATGCATATCTTACCTTCTGCTACTTGTTAATATTCCAATATGTGGAAAAATGATACTGGTCCCACAGTATTATGGTAAATATTTCAGGTCATGAATTATATGATTTAAATTCAACTTTTTTGTTAACATATATATAATAATGAAGATGATGATCATTAAATTATAGTAATATTTGACTTATTATTAAAATATAGTCTGTAACTTTCCAACAAATTTTCTTAAAGTTCTTGAAGGTTAACTCTGGTGTCATTTTTCTATTTGTGTCCAGTAATAAGTAGGGACTCCATCTCTCATGTATACAAAAGAAATTTTAATTGCCAGTAAAATCAGAGAACATTAACTTGACAGTCATAATGTGTGTGAAAACCTTAATCCTCCCTCCTGTTTCACTCTTCATTGAAGTTTAGTAATTTTTCTCTTCCAGGGAGAAATCTTTGACATCTTTCATTTTCCTTTCAACTATGTTATTAACTTAATTTTCTTGCTAGTCTTTTACACTATATAGTTATAAGCAAGCACTCCCCCCTTTCTCAGTTTTCTCTTTTGGAAACAGAAGTAAAATGCCTATTCTTCTTCATATTTCACAGGTCATACATGCTCTTGCCCCTTCTACTGATGATCTGAGTAGGAAACATGTTTATGTGCTTGGTTTCAGCCCATGCTTCGCCATAATCAGGGATAAAATGGGGGTTGGAACTCAATGTAAGGGGCTGATTTTGCTTGAAGGTTGCTTCCCCATTACCAGCAATAAAAACAGACATCATTCTTAGAGAAATAAGGCCCTCCCCTGAGAGAATAGAATAAAAATAGATACTGTTCTAAGATCACACCTCTCTGGTGACTCAACTCATTCATCAGGACAGGGGATACTGCCTGATGGGACTGAGACTAATTTTTGAGAATTATGGAATTCTTTCCTCTGAATCTAATAATATTATTAAGTTCCAGGGCATACCTTTGTGGGACTACAACTTTTTCCCCTTGCTGTAAATACATTTTTATAATTTAAATTTCTCAGAATGTTGATTCAGAATATTTGAGTTATTTGGAACGAGTAATCAATATACTAGTTATGAGACATCTCTCTCTCTCTCTCTCTCTCTCTCTCTATATATATATATATATGTATACATATGAAAGATTGTCCATACACCTCTACCCATAATGATGCGAATAGGAAGTCCAAGAAGAATGCCCATATTCTATCATTAAATCTAGCAGCCTGGTCTCTATCTCCCTTGAATCCTGCCATCGCATTATGCATTTTATCATGGTTTATATAAGTCACTAAATGAATGTAAGCTTTTCTACATTCCTTGCACTGTAAACTTCACAAAACTTTGAACATTTATTATGACACCTTCAACTTCCTTCACAACTCCTAAAAGCCTTCTACTGTTCTCACTAGAATTTTAGTTCAGTACCAGAAAAATCCTCCAAATTCAAACCTGTTAACTGATATTTCCTTTACCTTCATCCCCTAACCTTTTTCTTCAACACCAGACTTACATATTCAACTGTTTACATGACATCAAGATGCACATTTTAACTACAATATCCTTAAAATTTAGGAGCTCTGGTAGTGTAGTGCCTAAGGCACTTGACTGCTAACCAGAACGCTGTCGGTTCAAACCCACCAGCCAGTCCTTGGAAGGAAGGTTGGGCAATCTACTTCCATAGTGATACTTACTCGGCAACCCAAAGAGGGGTCGCTATGAGTCGGGTCCGACTCAACAGCACATAACAACAACAACATCCTTAAAATATAACCCTGAACTTTCCCAAGAGAAACAGAAAAAACATAAGTGTCTCCATCTCAGTGGATGACAGCTCCAGATTTTCAATTGTTAGGACAAAAATATGATTGATTTCTCTTTTGGTTTCACTAGCCCAAATCCAGTTCATCAGCAAACACTGCTGGGTATACCTTAAAAATATACCGAGGATACAGCTAGTTCTGACTACTTCACTGCTATGACCATAGTTATTAAATCATTATATTAGTTTTCTAACAGCACTCCTCAAACTACTTCTGACCCTACTCCATCCATTTTCAGCATAGCCACTGGACTGCCTTTTAACAAGTGAGTCACATGTGTCAATCATTTGTGCAACACCTTTCAGTAGCTTCCAATTCAAGTTAGGTGTAAAGCCAAAATCATCACAAAATCATCTTAACAGACTCCATTCCAAAGGATCTAGTCCCAGTCCATTATTTGATTCTACCTGGAATATACTTCTATATTGATTCTGCTCTCCCCACACTGGCCTCCTGGATGGATCTACAGATTAGTGCCTTTCTTTGATCTACATGAAGAAGGTGAAAATTCCTTTTCTCCAAATCCCCCCTTAACTCTTTTCTTTCCATTCTTTAACCTGTTCAAATTCCAGCTTTCCAGAGAGCACCACACAATTAGTATGGCAACTGACCCATCTCAGAGTCTACTTTTGTAATTCTCTTCACCAGAGTTTAAAAGTGCCTCTTGTTTTCTGTATAGTACCTATTGACTTCTAATAAATACTTTTCTTGTTTATGAGGTTTATTTTGATATTTTGCCTTTTCCTGGTAGAACAGAAGCACCGTGAAGGCAAGAATCTTTGTCTATTTGTTCACTGACATATCTCAAGTACCTAAAAACTGTTTTGTAGATGGTTGTCACTTAATGAGTATTTGTTGAATGAATAAATTATTGGATAGTTGGAGGGCAGAATTCAATGGTAGACCTGAATGTGTTTTGTGAATTGTAAAATA